TTGGGTCACTAACTCCAGTTGGATACCACTGGACAGAATTTGAGAAGGGCATGTGCCCTGGATAGGCATGCAGGGTGGGGAGACTGGTATTTGACTTTGGTATTTACTAGAGTGGTGACCTCTAAATTCCTCTCAAACAACAGTTTTACAATGATGCTCTGTCTCCTTCTGGATTTTTTTTTTTAATAGACCATTTCCCCTGTCATCCAAAGGACAATGTGGAAACCATTTTGAGACTCTTAGTCTTTTCTTCCTATTTACAGACATTTCTTCCCATGATGTCATATTATATGTCAGTTCTTTCCAATAATTACCCATTGGTTTCTAGTGATCTGAAAGGTTTAATCTAAATACTTGAAGCAGAAGACCTCTTAAAACCTGACTGTGAAATAATAGAAAAGAAATATTGGTTGGGGCCTCCCTGGTGGCACAGGGGTTAAAGTCTCAGTGCTATTAAGCTATCTCCAGCCACTGTGACATGAGTTCAATCCCTGGTCAGGGAGCTAACCCACATGGCACAGCAGACCTCTCCTATCTCGACCGCTGCTCCCCTCAGCAGTGTACTTATGTAGATCTGCCTGTTCTGCTCCCCACTCTGTCTCTGGTGAATCCTCTCACCCCCTACATCTCTGGCCTACACCCCAGTTCCTGTATGCGTAAATAAATAAAATAAATCTTTAAAAAAAATTGGTATTTGACCCTGGTTTCTGACACAGGGCACCTGAAACCCTTGTAATTTCTTGGGTGATGGGATAGTCTTTAGTTCCAAAGGGTGTGCTCCTGGATGAGTGCTGGTAAGAGACCAAGTCATGATTTGAAGTTTGGAATTTTCAGCCCCATCCAACCTCTTGAGAAGGGAGGACTGGAAATGGAGTTAATGATCAATCATGCCTACATGATGAAGCCTTCATAATAATCCCAATAGTACTGGGGTTTAGAAAGTGCCTAATATGTTGAACAAATCTGTATATAAGGAGGATGATGTGCCCCCACTTCACAGAACAGAAACTTTGGAATTAGGGACCCTCGCAGACCTCATGCTGTGCATATCATCAGGCTTGTTCATCTGTATCCTTTAGAATACTCTTTAATAAACTGGTAAACATAAGTAAATGTTTTCCTGAGTTCTGTGCACTGCTGTAACGAATGGAATTCAAGGAGAGGAGTATAAGAACCTCTGATTTGTAATCAATTTGGAAGGCCCTGGTAATCTGCTTACTATTGGTATGTGAACTGGGTGGGAGCAGCCTTGTGGGACTGAGCCCTTATCTGTAGATCTGACACTATTTCCAGATAGATTGTGTCAGATTTCAGTTACATTGTAGGACACCCAGCTGGTATTGCTGAGAATTGCTTAGTGTAGAGAAAACTCCTGCACATTTAGAGGCCAGAAATATCAGCCAGAAGTGTCCTGAGGAAACAGTAAAGAGAGACACACATAGCAAAACCAAGAACAGGTTTCCTCCCTACTCAGTAGATAGATTGAACTGAGTTGTCTTTTTTTTTTTTTAATTTTCTGACCTTCACCTAAGTTTCCAGTTTTATCTTCTGCTCCTTCCCTCCTATTGCAGCCTTTTGAGCCAACCACACACTCCCTCTTTTGTCTATCTATGCTCCCTTAGTTTGCTATTGCCACCATAGCAAGTTACCAAAAACTCAGAACTTCAACAATACACATAATCTTACAGTTCCAGAGGTCAGAATTCTGACAAGGTCTCACCCGAATAAAATCATGGTGTCAGCAGATCTATGTTCTCTCTGGACGTTCTAGGGGAGAATTCATTTCCTTGAATTTTCTAGCATCCAGGGGCCAACTACTCTCCTTGACTTCAAGTCCAGCAGCCCAGAGCCAGTGCTTCTCAGGCTACCTCCTCTGTGGTTCTTCCCCTTCTGCTTCTCTTTCAGTTTTAAGGATCCCTGTGATTCTACTAGACCCAGCTGTATAATCTACTCTCCCTATTTTAGCAGCAGCTGATTAGCAAGCAATTGTAATTCCTCTTTGCCATATAACTAATATTTCCACAAGTACTAGGGATCAGGACATGAATATCTTTGGAGGAACACTATTGACATGGGTCTCCCATGTGGTTGCCTTGCTTATCACTGCATCTGTAGCTGTTACCCCAGTGACTGGTTCATATCAGGTAATTGAAATGTCTGTTGAATAAATTTTGGGGGGAGAGTGCAAACAGAGTGTTGCCATTTGAGTGGGTTCTTGTGTTCAAGTGACTGACGAGTAATCGCTGACACAACGGACTGAAGATTAGTGAACTCAGGTTTTTTGCAAGAAAAACTCCTGACAGGTGGAAGGGATATAAGGGAGAAGCCCATTGCTGTTGGGGGTAGGTTTACTTTTATTAAAGTAAGATAAGTAATGTCTCTCAGGGGACATTCCCCATTCTGGTGCTTTTTCACTGCCCTCCTTTGCCTCATTGCCCCACTTTGCCACCCAGAGACGTGAGGCCACCACAAGCTACTATGTGCCTCTATATGCCTCTTGTGGTTACCAGCCTCTGCCTGCTAGCTCAGTGGCCAGCAGCCTTTGCCTGTCAGCTTTCTGCTCCCTCAAGCACCCAACCTCACTTTACTTTCTTAAAACCAGCCCTTGCCAGCCAGCTTGCAGCCAGATCTGCAGGGCAGCTCCCTAGCCAGCTAGTTCTCTACTCCCTCAAGAGTAGAGAGGCTACATCAATCCTTTTTTTTTTTCTTTTTTGTATTATGTAGCACTTCAAGCAGTTTTCTTCAGCTCTCAGAAAGTGCTTTCTGAAAGAACACACATCTCACCTATCAGGAATGGTGTATGAGGTGGTAGCTGAGGCCATGTGAGAGGCTCCTTCCAGTTCTTATTTAAGGTGGAGAAAATAGCTCTAATAATTTGAGCTCAGCAAGTGGTACATGAAAATAGATTATTTTTTTTTTAAATTTTACTCCTAGAGTGCCTTTGGGTTTACCTTTTTAAACTGCGGAGTTAGGAGCATATCCATTTTGACTTTTAATTATATTTTAAAACAGTGTTTTCAAAGTGTGGCCTTTGAACCAACATTATAGGTATCACTGGAAATTTGTTATGATCACAAATTCTTGAGTCCACTCTAGACTTGAATCAGAAACTGCAGGGTGGGCTGGGGCACTTGGAGCAGTTTTAACAAGGTCTTTAGGTGATTCTGACACATACCAAAATTTAGAACTTTCAAACCAAAGTTTAAGTTCACCTTAGCCTATTTACCTATTAACATTCTACCTATGCTGGTGAGGTCTGTAATAGTCCAGACTACAGATGCTCAATTCCAAATCTAGCTGCCCTCCTCAGTTTGTGTTCCTCCTGCAATTTATGGTACTGTGAAAAGTCCAACAATGCACATATTTTAATTATTTTTTAAACAGTGGCCTTCACAGGAACTTCCTGAGGGTATCAGGATAATGTATGTTCGCTAAATACTTTAACAGCTGCAACTACTTATAAATGATATTAGAATGACCACCTAGGGAGGCAGATTATCAAAATTAGTCTAAAATTTTCTATACTGAGCTTTGAGCGGTGGCAGAGGAGACACCTAGTTGAACACGGAGTTGTCTTTTTTCCTTACATTCCCGTTTATTACATTAGTAGTGGAACTCTGTATTTTTGGCGCAGAAGTACAGCCAAAATCCTTTTCCTACTAATGAAATCTGAATTATATAAGTAAAGTGATTAAACTAAGGGCGGGGGTTGGAGCCGGACATGCAGACTGTTAAGAAGACCAGGATGGGCACTATTATTTTGCTATAGACAGGTTCTACTCATCCCCTTCCTCACTTGTTATTTTTTAAAAAAGATTTACTTATTTGTGCATACAAGAACTGGGGTACAAGCCAGAGGTGTGGGGGGGGGCGGGTGAGAGGGCTTGTTAGGGAGAAATGATGTCCTGAGCTAATCCCATACAGGCTTTGTGGACTCCACTCCCAGTCCAGACTAAAGCCATCAAAACATTGGAAAAGACAAATCCCATCACCACCAAAGGGAAGGTGGCTGGGACCTGAGAGTGGAGTTAAGCAGCCAGGTTGGGTATAAAAACCAAACACGTGGGCCTTGGGGGGCTCGCTGTCGCTCACCTCCTGGCTTCACGGCTCCTGACTCGCGGCCAGCTCTCAGAGTGCCATTTGGGATTCCCGATCAGCCGATCGGGTAGGACTCATTTAAAACTTTGTCTCCCACATTTCTCCCTGAGCTGTACATTTCCTCATTTCCCCTTCCCTTATAAAAAAACCTTTTATTAACCTTTCGCGTGTGCCTGCAGTAGAGCACTGATAAGTCCTTTTAAGCGCGCGGGTGAGGACCCACAGTCAGGCACCCCGTTTTGTATCGGGGTTGCTCTACAACAGTTTCACCGGAGACATAGTGGGGAACAGAGCAAGCAGAACTACTGAAAAGCACACTGCTGGGAGATCTGCTTCGCCATGTGGGGTGCTCGCCGGCCGGGGATCGAACTCGTGCTGCAGAGGCTGCGGATAGCCTCACAGTGCTGTGCTTAACCCCTTGCGCCACTAGGGAGAACCCCCCCGCCCCCCGCCCCGCCTTCCTCACTTCTAATCTACAGGTTTTTCTTTTGGGGAGGGTCCCCAGGTCCAGTGCGCCCCCCATCAGCGCACGATCAGCCCTTGGGTGGCTCAGGGTCAGAAGGGGTGAGGAAGCCGGCTCCAAGCCCAAGGGCACACAGTGCCCGGAAGCCCTCGCGCTGCTCCCCGGCGCCGGACCCGAACTAGCGGCCCTCATGCAGGGCCCGAAATTGAGGCCCAGGGACCCAGCCCGGCCTCTTCCGCCCGGGACTCCGGGTCGCACTCCCGCCCCGCCCCCTGCTCCCGTACACTCCGCGCCTGCGCAGAAGCAGCCAGCGTGAGGTTTCCCCGCGTCGCCGCGGAGGCGGTGCCAGAAAAATCAGTAGCCAATGAGATCCTGGGAAGCACTGGACGGCCGACCAATCGCGAAGGCTAGCACCCGGATATGATTGCCGGCTGGGAAACCGATCTCAGACAGAGTGAGGGGCTCCCACGTGGGGTCGGGGCTGCGGGCGCGGAGGGCTGTAAGGGTTGTCCCGTGGGGTTTTGAGTGCGGGGCAAATCAATGTGGCTTGTTTATCCGTGGAAAGAATTCTCATTGTCCCGGAACCGGCGTGTGAAGTTCCTCCGATGGTGTCTCAGAGGGGAGGAGAGTCTTGAAGACGCATCTCGGCCGGTGGGAATATGAATCTCTTACCCAAAACCTCCAAGGAGTTTGGCTCCGCTGACTACTGGGAGAAGTTCTTCCAGCAGCGGGGAAAAAAAGCTTTTGAGTGGTATGGAACCTACCTGGAACTATGCGGGGTGCTCCATAAATACATCAAGCCCAGGGAGAAGGTAAACGCGGTCTGGCAGGGCCCCGGCGTGTGCTCGGGAAGGTGGGAACTGATAACAAATCCTGAGCTTCGTAGACATGATAGATGTGGGGACCCGTATCAGGCCCACTTCAGGTTTCTAGGTTTCATTCAGGCTAAAAAACAGTTTAAAAATACTCCTTTAAAGATTTTCCGTTAAGACTTCTTGTCCCCTGCTCATCCTCGAATTAGTAACCAGACCGAAAGAGTGACAGCTTTGGTAACCTAACCTTGATGTAGTCTCCAGAAGCGAGTGTGCCTTCTGTTACTGTTGTAACAGAAGTGAGTGTGCCTTCTGCCTACTGTTACTGCCTGGGGCAGGCAGCACATGGGGCTTTACTGATACATGAGTCTGTTATCAAATAGTTGTTGCAGGTCCACTGAATTTCAGGCATAGTGCTCAACACTTAAGCTGCAAGAGGATTAAGATAAAAACCCTGGGCACATTCCAGAAGTGAAAAGTGATAAGTACAATAAAAGGAGGCTTGATACAAGTGGGGTTGTACTGCAGTCAGGGAAGAATAGGGTAAAAAAATGGAACATTTGTGGAGGACACGTGACATGACAAGCCTTATGCTCTGTGTATGTGATAGTTCTGTAGTTGAATTCTCATAATAAACTCTGAGGTGAGTGGTACTTCATCTATCCTATAGACAATGACACAGATTTTGAGAGCCAGTTTCTTGTCTAAGATCAAGTGGTCACATGGCAATTTAAACTCAGGCCTATCTATCTCCAAAGTGTTAGCACATAGACACATCTCATTGTGTCTTTATATTTTAGAGATAGTGCTATCAGATCAGAATTTTGAAGTATGAATGGGAGAGTGTCCCAGAGACAGGGAGGCAGTGACCTGTGTTTTAAGTTTGGCTTCAGAAAATAGAATATCATAAGGTAGCGCCCAGGGCCTCATTGGAATAGGATTATGCCTATTTCATAGGCATAATCTTTGTCAAGAGTGAGACAGAGTCTTTGTCAAGAGTGAGACAGATAGAAGATTTCAACTGTAATGATTGTTTTTGGATTCTGTGACTTTATATCAACTAATGATAATAGATCCTTGATTCAGAGACATGACTAACCACAATAGTTTGTTTCTGAAATGCAGAAAGCCCATCCTCACATAATTTGTGATGTTGTAGCTGAATGAATGGTTACTTTAACCAATGGTGTTTCAAGATGGAACCTGGAATCTGCTCTGTAATGGTGCTCTCTCCTGACAAGTTTCTCCACTTTCTGCAAACATGGAATGGCTGAGGCAACTTAACTCCAGGTCTCTGAAGCACATTCTCTTGCCTTGATCTCCTCATCTTTTTGCTCTCCCCTTCCCAGGTACTGGTGGTTGGGTGTGGTAACTCAGAGCTCAGTGAGCAGCTGTATGATGTGGGCTATCAGGATATAGTGAACATCGACATCAGTGAGGTGGTCATCAAGCAAATGAAGGACCGCAATGCCAGCCGGCGGCCACACATGAGCTTCTTGAAGATGGATATGACACAGATGGAGTTTCCTAGTGCCTCCTTCCAGGTGGTGCTGGACAAGGGCACCCTGGACGCTGTCCTGACAGATGAGGAGGAGAAGACCCTACAACAGGTGGACAGGATGCTGGCTGAGGTTGGCCGTGTCCTGCAGGTGGGCGGTCGCTACCTCTGCATCTCCCTGGCTCAGGCTCACGTCCTGAAGAAAGCAGTGGGTCACTTCTCTCGGGAGGGGTGGATGGTGAGGGTGCACCAGGTGGCCGACAGCCAGGACCAGGTGTTGGAAGCAGAGCCTCGGTTCTCCCTGCCTGTCTTTGCCTTCATCATGACCAAGTTCAGGCCAGTCCCTGGCTCTGCCCTTCAGATCTTTGAGCTGTGTGCTCAGGAGCAGGGCAAGCCCATGCGGCTGGACAGTGCTGAGCGGCTGGCTGAGGCAGTGCGGGAGCGGCAGCAGTATGCCTGGCTGTGCAGCCAGCTGCACCGCAAGGCCGGGCTGGGGAGTGTGTCTCTGGACTTGTGCGATGGGGACACGGGGGAGCCACGCTACACCCTCCACGTGGTGGACAGCCCCACTGTGAAACCATCGCGGGACAGTCATTTTGCCATTTTCATCAGTGAGTTGGGATTGCTCCCTCTCTTTCCTGGAGGGGCTGGCTTACATGGGCTGGGGCTGGAGTTTTGGTGGATGGGTTTGCCTTGGCTGGTTCTATCTTACAGGGGGCGGTACTTCCAGAGGGTGAGAGCATGACAAAGGGGGTGTAGCAGTTCTGCAGCTACCTGCTAGACTTGAGGCTTGTTCCTTCTTCCATTGCAAAGGCTTAATGGAAATGTGAGAGAAGGGGTTAGTAGAGAGAATGAGAAGTATACAGATAAATTTAGGCAAGCCTCTCTATACAGAGATTTGAGTTACTGTGTAACAGTGTGGTTGTTGTAATGGAAACAACTGAGTTCTAGTCCCTACTCTAGCCTGTAAGCTGTGAGACTTGGGAGATCTGCACTTCTCTGTTGAACTTAGACAGTATAGAGTTGTAGCTAAAAATAGGAGTTCTGGAGCTACGCTATTCCGGTTCCAGTCTAGGTTCAGTGATTTCCTGGTGGTGGAAGTGTTGGAAAAGTTATTTTTTCTGTGTTTCAATTTCCTCATCTATAAAGTGAGATCATACCTATTCTTGTGTAGTTGTAAGAAGTGTAAAAGCCCTTAGGTGCCTCACAGGTGACTGCTTTATAAATACTAGTGTTGTTACTGAAAGGGGTCATTGATAACCAGATTTATCTTAGAATCAAAATACAGAGTATGAAGAAATGCTTTCAAAAACAGAAACTTCTAGGGCCTCCTCAGTGGCACAGCAGGTTGAGCGCAGCGCTGTGGAGCTGTCCTCAGCCTCTGCAGTGCTGGTTCGAGTCCTGATCGGCCAGGGAGATACCCACATGGCGCGGCAGACCTCTTCTGTCTCGCCCGCCCGCTGTGCCCCTCAGCAGTGCTTTTAGTCCATCTGCCTGTTCTGCTCCCTGCTGTCTCTGGTGAATCCTCTCACATCTGCTTCTGGCCTGTACCCCAGCTCTTGTAGAAATAAATAAATCTTCAGAAAAAAAAAAATAGAAACTTCTAGACAAATACAGCCTGTTGAGATGATCAGGCTGGTAATTTCCCAAAGCCTGAACCATTTCCCCAAGTATTTCCTAATCCTCTCTGTCTACCTGTGGGAACAAAATGATGGATACAACCATAGAGCCTGCAGCTGGACTGCTTGGGTTTGAATCCCAGCCAGGCCCTTACTGACTGTGTGAATGTGGGCAAATCTTTGTTTCAATTTCCTCATTTATAATATAGGAGTAATAATAATACTACCGGTATGATGGGTTTTGGATAGATTCAAATATTTTCTTTTTGCAAAGTGTTTGAAATAATGCCCGGCATGTAATGAGTGTTAATATTATTGCTGTTTTTCTTGTACCAGACACCTGTCTCTCTCCCCTTATATTCGTCCTCATGCTTGCATAGCCACCCTTGGTCCTGCCTGATGTGAATGGGCTGCTTGGCTCTGGGCAGTGTGCACTAGGGCATCCATAGTCCCTTAGTGGGTCACAGTTGGAAGGCATGCTGGGCCTGGGAAGGGTCTGGCTCTCTGTCATGTCATCATATTGGCTGTGGGCTTAAACATTCTTCCTGGGATCCGTTAATCACCAACTCACTCTTTCCAGTCCCCCAGGGGCGGGAGACAGAATGGCTATTTGGCATGGAGGAGGGCCGGAAGCAGCTGGCAGCCAGCGCAGGCTTCAGAAGATTGGTCACAGTTGCCCTTCACCGAGGTCAACGGTATGAAAGCATGGACAGCATCCAGGCCGAGCTGTCTGCCAGGGTCATGGAGCTGGCCCCTGCCGGGATGCCCACCCAACAGCAGGTAACAACTTTGGCAGCAGTCTCAGTTGTCTCCGGAAGAGTCCTGTTAGCAGCCAGGAAGGCTGAGGACGCCTTGGAGGGGCACCAAGTGCCTGATCATAACCTGTGCCTGGGGTGCATGTCAGCTGCTGAGTTGTCAAAATCATATAGCCTTGCCCTAGGCAGCGAGAGGTTAGCAGGTGCCCTTGTTGAGACCCACAGTAGCATCATTGTATTTGTAGGCGGGGACCCTCAGACTCCACAGAGGCGGCGTGAAGAGTATTCCTCACAGGCTCCAGCTCTTCATCCTGCCTACTCTTGCACAGGACTTGACCATTTTGCTTCTCATATCTGTTGTTATCTGAGGGTAGAAAGAAGAAGAACCAAAATAGCTTAACATAACTTTCAGGATATTAGCATTGCTGGTTTGTTGTTCTACTATGAAGGAAACTGAATGTTTTTGCCAAAATGGTGATATGGTATTATCAGCTGACACCTTCTGTCTTGTGCTATCCTGCTTACCCTGCGTAATTGATAGGTGACTTTCTTGCTCAAGCTTTATAGTAAGAAGTTTATCCTTCTTGATGTGTTGGACAGTCTATGTGCCTGGGGGTTGATGTGGGAGTAATGGGTCTGAAAAGAAAAACCCAGACTCTCAGCCTCTCAGCCTGTGGTTCTACCCACTGGGATGACCTCTGTTTACAGATGAGCGTGTCTGTGAATTTTCTGGCAGACTTGGGACAGGACATGACCAGAGAGATCCCAGAACCTGTGGGGTGGTTCATTTGTGACTTCTTTCCAGTACCTTTGTCTCTGCAGAGTCAGGCGTCCTGCTGATTATTACATACTTTTGTAAGTCTTTAAAAATAAATAAAGATTGGGCCTCCCTGGTGGCGCAGGCAGTTGAACGCAGCACTGTGAAGCTGTTCGCAGCCTCTGCAGTGCTGGTTCAATCCCCCGCTGGCCGCGGAGATACCCACATGGCGCAGCAGACCTCTCCTGGCTTGCCTGCTGTTCCCCTCAGCAATGTATTTCAGTCAATCTGCCTGTTCTGTTTCCCACTTTGTCACTGGTGAATCCTCTCACCCTCCTGCACATCTGCCCTGTTCTTGTATAAATGAATATATTATATTGTGTGTGTGTGTATGTGTGTGTGTGTGTGTATATATATATATATATATATATATATAAGAACCCCGGTTCTTGTATAAATGAATAAATCTTAAAAAAAAAATAGAGCGATTGGGAAGGAAAATTGAAATGTCTAGGGGAAAATATATTTTTCTTGTATGGTTTAGGAAAGTGGGGGCAGGGCATAAGATGAGAATAACTAGGGGAAAGGAGAGATTTCTCCACATTTGGAGTGGTCGTTTGGCCCTCTGGATCTTGTCATCTTTATCTCTCCTCAGCTTCTTTCTCTTATAATTTGGCTCTTGCTTTTATCATCTTCAATTGTTGAATGTCCTTTTTTTTTTAATTAATTAATTTATTTGTTTGTTTTGTTTGTTTTTCTTTATACAAGCACTGGGTACAGTCAGAAGCACGGGAGGGTGAGAGAATTCACCAGAGCCAGAGCGGGGAGCAGAGCAGGCAGAAGGACCGAAGTACACTGCTGAGGGGAGCAGCGGGCGGCAGGAGAGGTCTGCGCGCCATGTGGGACCCTCCTCCGGTGGTCGGGGAGCAGCCGGGGATCGAACCGGTGCTGCAGAGGCTGCGGGCAGCTTCGCATCCCAGCGCTCTGCTGCGCCACCGGGGAGGCCCTGTTGAATGTCCTTTTAAGGATTACTATTCAGAAACATTTATGTTATTCTTGGGGAGAACCAACTGCATTGCACTGATGCTTTGGGAATCTTTTTATGTCCTCATTTGTCCTTCGAAAAGTGAATTAAACCATCTGAAATCTATTTAAAGACCCCAGAAAAATACTTTTTAAAAAATATTTATTTTTTAAATTTTATTTTATATATTTTTTACATCATTTTTCATTTTTGCACAATGTATGCATTTTCATCTTGGTTACAGTCCTCATACAATTCCCACCCCTCCTTGTTTTGATGTTACTCCCCCTGCTCCCCCATAGTGTGTCTCTGGTTTATAGTTACTTGTTGATTTTGATTTTTTCTTTATTAGTCATTTTCCTGGTCCCTTATTTAGGTTTTCTAAATTCCTGCTATGAGTGAGACCATCCAGTATTGTTCTTTTTCTACCCAGAAAAATACTTTAATAAAAGGGCACATTTTCAGAGTAGCTGCTGCAAGAACCTTAGTGGGTATTCCTCATATATACACAAAGAGGCGAGATCATCATTTCTTCTTCTTTTTTTTTTAATTTATTTTTGCATAGAAAAACTGTGGTGTAGGTCAGAGGTATGGGGATGGGGTGTGTGTGTGAGAGAGGATTCACTAGAGACGGAGTGGGGAGCGGAACAGGCAGATTTACTGAAATACACTCCTGGGGGGAGTAGCAGGCAAGTCAGGAGAGGTCTGCTGCTCCATATGTGGGGTTAACTCCCTTGCTGGGGATCAAACTCAGGCTATAGAGGTGAAAGTTATGAGACTTAACCCTAGGCCATCAGGGAGGCCCCCTTATGTTTCTTACTGGGCTGGTGTTTTGATCATATTTCTGCCATACCTCCAGGTGCCCTTTCTTTCTGTGGGTGGGGACATTGGGGTCCGCACCGTTCAGCACCAAGACTGCAGCCCCATGAGTGGCGACTATGTCATCGAGGACGTGCAGGGGGATGACAAGCACTACTTTCGACGACTGATCTTCCTCAGCAACAGGAATGTGGTACAGTCGGAAGCCAGGCTGCTGAAGGATATGTCTCACAGAGGTGAGGTGTCCCACAGAGGTGAGGTCTCATAGGCATGGTGGTGGCACCCATGTAGAGATGGAATTTGGGGTGTTCTGAAAGACCTAGGAGCTTGGCAAAGATGTAGGCTGGACCTGGGTACCTGTGGCTCAAGGCATATGGCTGTGGGCTGTCCTCTCATCACCTAGGCTCATTTCAAAGCTTGGCTTTGAAATGATAAACCAAGGATGTGGGCCTCCCCGGGGGCGCAGCGGTTGAGCACTGGGTTGCAAAGCTGCCCGCAGCCTCTGCAGTGCCGGTTTGTTCCCCGGCCACCGGTGAGGGTCCCACATGGCGTGCAGACCTCTCCTGCCGCCCGCTGCTCCCCTCAGCAGTGTACTTCGTCAGTCTGCCTGTTCTGCTCTCCGCTCTGGCTCTGGTGAATTCTCTCACCCTCCCGTGCTTCCAACTGTACCCAGTGCTTGTATAAATAAATAAATAAATCTTAAAACAAAAACAAAAACAAAAACTAAGGATGTGGTAGAGCAAATAAATGTGATTGTCACTTTATGGCCTTCAGTTTAAAGGCTGCCAGTTTTCGACGTTGCTCTATGTACATCTGTACATTAATTTGATAGACCTCTGTGAGGTGAGCTGAAAACATGGGGGTACAGGTTGGCCTGCCCTCCACCCTGTTGCAGCTCTCTAGCACTTGTTTCAGAGGATTCTAGAATTGGTAGAGTGCCTTTGAGGTCATCTAGTCCAGTGTTGTTAAGCTTGCTGTAATGATGGAAATGTTTAATATCTGAGCTGCCTGGTACAGTACCACTCAACATCTGTGACCTCTGAGCTCTTGGAAAGTGACTGGTGTAACTGAATTTTAAATTTTACTTAATTCTAATCAACTCCGTTGCAATGGCCACAGGTGGTTGGTGTCTCTAGGGTTAAGACAGTGTAGATCTGCTTTGTGTCTTCCAGAATTCCTTTTAAAGAGTGGTCTCCCAGATGCTGCTCACTTATTCCCACCAGTGGGGAAAGTGGTGATGTGTTTCTGCTACTGTTTTCAGGGGTTGCATATGTTTATATTATGAAAATAATACTCATTTGTAGTCAATTAAAATACATGCAAAATAAAAAGTGACCATGCCTTCCCCCCCCCTCCTGCAGGTCAGTTTCCCTTTAGAAGCACAGAGGTTCAGCGCCTCCCTGGTGGCACAGGCTGTTGAGCGCCACTCTGTGAAGCTGTCTGCAGCCTCTGCAGTGCAGGTTCAATCCTGGCCAGCTGGCGAGAATCCCACGTGGCTTGGCGGACCTCTCCTGTCTCGCCCGCTGCTTCCCTCAGCAGTGTATTTCGTCAGTCTGCCTGTTCTATTCCCCGCTCTGTCTCTGGTGAATCCTCTCACCCTCTCATGCATCTGGCCTGTACCCCGGTTCTTGTATAAATAAATAAATAAATCTTTAAAAAAAAAAAAAAAAAGAAGCAGCACAGAGGTTCAGGGGTGGAAGCTGAAATTGGGTCTCCTCATTCTCAGTCTCTCTCTGCCTGACCATGCTGTCCAGATAGCCAGGCCATCTGAGAAGAGGGTGAGGAGATTCAGCAACTCTGGAGGTCACAGAATTGCCCAGAGTGTACCGTCAGCTTACTTATACCAGAATGATCTTTTCTTTAGAGTTGCCCCTAGTCAAGTGCACTGATGTGTGCTGGGTCCCTGCCCTGTGATTTGGCCACTCTTGTCAGTGGTCTGCTTCAGTGTTGCCTCACTAAAAGCTCGGTAAAATTGCTTACAAAAACATTTTGCCCTGCAGGTTGGGTTTCAGGGCTTTTTTCCACCATTATCAGGCTCCTAGCCTTCTTAGTATCACTGTCTTTTCTTGAAATTGGTCTCCCTCATGAAAGCATTGGTGAATAAGGAGAATGTATTAAAAAGTAATTTAACATCTCTGAAAAGGCTCCCTGTTACTACACATCAGTGCCTTAGGCTGCTGTAGAATGTAGCTCGTCCCTAGAAATATCCAGAACCATGATTTACTCTGATATCCTAAGGTAATCGAGGGACTAGATAGAGGGAAATAAGGGACTCTATAGGATTTCTCCTCTTCTTTGAACACTTGTGATTTCCATGTCCAAAGGAAGGGGGTGTCTATGTTATATCCAGGTGATACGGTAGGATTATGAAAGGTGCTGCAGATGGACATTCCTAGATCAAATCCTGCAGTACCACTGCTGCTTCTGGATGCATTGACTTTAGAACCTTGGTTTTTCCATCTGCCAAGAACTGGAATACCAGGGCTGTTATAAGAGCTAAAAGAGTAAAGTCCTAGTGTGTAATTACCACAGAGGAGGCATTATATGGAGTCATTCTCATAAATTGTGTTGTTAGTTGCCTGGCAACTACATGGAGAAATACTCAGGCTCCTCAGTTGAGTTTCACCAGGTTTTTAGGTGTGCTTTTGCCAGTTCCCTTTTCCTACTCTCTGGCATCCAGTGGAGCACATTAAGTGTTTCACAGTTGTCTCTTTGTTGGGACAAAACCCTGATAAGTACTGTTTGCCTATTTCTATGACATAAAAATGGCCACCCACAGTGAATTTCTAGCTATCTATATGATGTCAGCCATTTCACAAAATTCCTGCGTAGTTAACAGTGGGGCTCTTGAATCAGATCAGCATCACTGCTGGTGTGCCTGGCTTTCCAAGGGCTATAAGGTTACTAAGAGTTGTCGATCTTTCTCATTTAGCACAGAAGAAACGGAAAAAGGACAGGAAGAAGCAACATCCCGCTGATAATGTGGAGGACCTGCCTGCAACCCCAGGGCAGTCCATTGACAAGAGCTACCTGTGTTGTGAACACCACAAAGCCATGATCGCTGGCCTGGCCCTGCTGAGAAGGCCTGAGCTACTCCTAGGTGAGTGAGATGCCACTGCCTTCTGCAGAGGGAGCTTGTAAGATCAGAGAAATAAGCAGTCAAAGTCGCTGTCCTGTAGTTTATAAGAAGAGGGATTCCAGACCAACAGTTGCACATATTTTCTTTTCTTGTCCCCACCATCTTCTGTGTTAATGCATCCCTCATTATTTGTCCCTCAAATTCAGATTATAATCTTGAAATGACTACATGTGTTGATGTTTACATTTTTCTCTTCCACTCATTTTATTTTATTTTATTCTTTAAAAGATTTATTTTTATTTATTTATACAAACACTGGGTACAGTCAGAAGCGCAGGAGGGTGAGAGGATTCACCAGAGCCAGAGTGGGGAACAGAACAGGCAGACTGATGAAATACACTGCTGAGAGGAGCAGCGGGCATGGCAGGAGAGGTCTGCGCGCCATGTGGGACCCTCGCCGGCGGCTGGGGATCAAACTGGCGCTGCAGAGGCTGTGGGCAGCTTCATAGCCCAGCGTTCAACCGCTGAGCCACCAGGGAGGCCCCACTCATTTTATTTTAAAACTAAAGTATAAAGTCGTTCAATGAGGTATGTAAGTACACAGATCTTAAGTTGTTCAGCTTGATGTGTCTTTGCATATGTCTATGTATATATGCAACATTTAAGGATCATTTCTGGAGAAATGCCTTTGCAATTTAGGAGATCTGCTGGCTTTTCAGTAATGCATTATTTGGTAGCAGAGGCAATTCTTTCTGGAATTTCTACTTTAATAAACAATTTATAGCCTTAAACCTTATCATTTAGAGTAGGTTTGGATCAAACTACAGCAGCAAAAAAATGTTTTTCTTTTTAACACTTAAAACTGTCTTCGGGCCTCCCCTGGTGGCATAGGCGGTTGAGCGCCACACTGTGAAGCTGTCTGCAGAGGCAGACAGTGGGTTTGATCCCAGCCGGCCAGCAAGGGTCCTACATGGCACGGCAGACCTCTTCTGTCTCGCCCGCTGCTCCCCTCAGCAGTGTATTTCGTCAGTCTGCCTGTTCTGTTCCCCGCTCTGTCTCTGGTGAATCCTCTCACCCTCCTGCGCATCTGGCCCCTACCCCAGTTCTTGTATAAAAAAAAAAGTATTAAAAAAACACAAAGGGCCTTCCCAGTGGCGCAGTGGTTGAGCGCTGGGCTGCGAAGCTGTCCGCAGCCTCTGCAGCACCGGTTTGCTCCCCAGCCACTGGCAAGTGTCTCACATGGCGCGCAGATCTCTCCTGCCGTGCCTGCTGCTCCCCATTGCAGTGTACTTTGTCAGTCTGCCTGTCTGCTCCCCACTCTGGCTCTGGTGGATTCTCTCACCCTCCCGCGCTTCTGACTGTACTCAGTGCTTGTATAAATAAATGAATAAATCTTTTAAAAAAAAACTCACATAAAACTGTCTTCACCCAAAGTCCTGAATGTGTCTTATTGAAACTCCTTGTATTCTTGGCCTATCTCGATTACCTTATTACCTTGATGATGTGTGTCCTCATAGGCTCAGTTCTTGGGTTGAATACTCAGGATCTGTCTCCTTCTGATGATTCTTTCTTGTTTCTCATCTGCCTTCCATGCTGCTGTGGTTGCTGTTGGTTACTTTGCTTAGTTGGAGCATTTGGGCCTTTGTTTTCCTGTGATTTCTGGAACTCAGGTGGATTGCCATCTCTTAGAGGATGTGTTTGAGATGGAAGTTGTGGCTTTTGGATTAAAAGTTGGGCTGAGCTCATCATACCTACTCTGCCCTGTGACTCTGAGCAAGATGTCCCTCGCATTTCCTGTAAGGGTCTAATAACTTACTGTGGGGACTTTTGATATGTCAGCTGAGAGCTTTGGATCTTTAAGGGACCATAATACACACTGGTTCATCTCTGCATTTACCAAGAGAGGGATTGTGAGGCTAGGGTTGTTTTCTGATGTCAGATTCACTCCTAAATTTCTGGGACAGACAGGAGGTCAGATGTCTAAATCTTGTTCAGCTGAGCAGAACTTCCACTCTGACTCCTCCTACTACCTTCCCTGAAGCCTGTGCAAAACTTCCCAGCACGCAGATGATTCCTTAATGCTCTCTTCTTTTATTACAGAGACCCCGTTGGCGTTGCTGGTGGTGGGCCTGGGTGGGGGCAGCCTCCCCCTCTTCGTCCATGATCATTTCCCAAAGTCCTGCATCGATGCTGTGGAGATTGACTCCTCCATGCTGGAAGTGGCCACCCAGTGGTTTGGCTTCTCCCAGAGCAACCGGATGAAGGTGCACATTGCAGATGGCCTGGACTACATTTCCAGTCTGGCTGGAAGAGAAGGTACAGCTCTAGAACAATATGAAGAGTTGTCACAGGCCTACAATGGCCTCTAGAATTCATCTCTAAGAGGGAGGCATCAGCAGCATCCCAGACTTTTTTACCTGTTCATTTATTGACATACTTACTCAGTGATGTAGAGTTCCAGATGTGTGTTCAGCACTGTGCTAGGTGCTGGGGTGTAGCTGTGAATGAAACGGACTATTGCTCCCCTTATGGTTTTGAGACTGATGGGTTTCTCTTCTGAACATGTAACCTTACTACTTTCTCAGCATCCTAAGAATCCTGAAGTCTGGCTGGGTGAGGAAAAGGGTGAAAAAGGTGGGGTTAATGTTGGGAAATATTTCTTGTAAATATTTCATTTGGGCATGAAACCAGATATAGAGCAATGCAGGGACATTTGACAATGTCTACAGACATTTTTTCGTTGTTAGAATATTGGGTCAGGTGCTTCCGGCATCTGGTGGGTAGAAACCAAGGATGCTCCTAAGCACCCTACAGTGCATAGCTCAGTCACCGATGACAAAGGGGTCACCTGGCCACAGCTAGCACTGGTGCTGCAGGTGAGAAATCCCAAGGTAGAGATTGCTAGTGGGAATTCAGATAACCCTGCTGCTATAGGACTGAAGGCCCCATTTTGCTCTAATAATTGTATCCCAGACTTAGGACAAAAGGCATATTCATGTTCTGTGTGAGATCCCCTGATCCTTCTGCAACTATATGGCTCCTGATGATACTGGAATTTTCTGGAACCTGAGTCCTTCTAGGGGAAGTCAGTTTGGTTGGTTCAGCCCTAAGTGAACTTAGGAGTCTTAGATCACCCTTCCTGGTCTACTCATTCCATAACAGGTGCTCTAGTTCTCACTGGATTAGAATATCCAATAAAGGTGGCAAACTCAGATGCTTGGGGTGGGTATTTTGGTACTGGAATGGACAGATGCTGCCTTAATGTGAACTTCATATCAGAATTTACAGGTTTCCTCTCTAAAGCTGGGGCCAGGTTGAGGCCCAAGATAACTAATACGCTTGAAGTATTTAAAACCTAGATATTCAACCCATGATGCAGTCAGTTATGTACTTTCTGCAGTTATTACCTGCAGGTCAACTTTGAAGGGCTCCGGCCATCATCTCTAACCACCACAACCTTTCAGATTATTTGAAGGCTTAAGGCCACAGATGTGGGCCATCATTTTCCTTGGACTTGATAAGCCAGCATTTTCTGCTCTCTAAGAAACCACAATCAGATCTGTACTATGAACAGTGACAGGCATGCAAGAGTCCAAAGAAAATATTTATTAGATAATTTTATGTAGTCTCAAAATTTGCAAAATAACAAGCTGGTGGTATTACAGGCCTACGCCATGTAAAAACCACCTAACATTATAACAAGTAGAACTGATTCATTATCAGTAATTTCTCACCCACTTAGTAAAATCATTTCTTGAACCAGCTATTGTTCAAGTAACCAGAAAAGATGCAGTAACTTTAATATCAGAACATTTCCTCCCAAGAAGCAACATAAACTGTTTTCAGAATTGAGTTACAGTTACTATTTGCTGGGTCAGCCCTTAAAGGTTTAGGCAGCTGCTTTGTCTAGATAGGTGGTTCTCAGCTCTGATTGTGTTTGGAATGATCTGAGGAGCTTCCTGTCTGCTCTCCCATCTATTCCTCACTCCCCACCCCAGGGTTTTGGACTTAGTTGGTGAGGAGAGGAGACCAGGTTCTCTAAGTATTTACAATCTTCCCTAGGCACCTCCTAATGTTTTGTCGGGTTGAAAGCCACTGAGTTAGTAGGTAGACTTGTTATAGGTAATAATCACTCTAGAGTGGACTTCGCTAATGTGTGCTTTTTTTTTTTTAAATATTTATTTATGCACAGGAGAACTGGGGTGTAGGCCAGAGATGGGGGTCTGGGTGAGAGGACCTACCAGAGACAGAGTGGGGAGCAGAACAGGCAGATTGACTTGAAATGCATTGCTAAGGGGATCAGTGGGAGAGACAGGAGAGATCTGCTGGGCCATATGTGGGTTAGCTCCCTGGCCAGGGATTGAACTTAGGCTGCAGCAATGATAATGCTGAGACTTAACTCTCGACCATCAGGAAAGCCTCTCATATGTGCCTTTGGAAGGTGTTTTTAAATGTGGAGGAGGAAGATGAGATGGAGGTTCCCATTTTTAATGTGCGATACTCACAGCAGCACTAAGATGTCATCCCCTTCCTGGACCATGGAACCAGTGCTCTTATGGACTGCCACCTCCTCCATGGCAGCCTTGTGACTTAGCTATCCCTGCCATCCCCACAGGTCACAGTGAAAATGTGTAGGAATGAAATGGCTTTCTTTTATCCAGCAAAGACAAAGCCTCACCTTTGCTTTTCTTTCCCAGCACAACCTCAATACGATGTCATAATGTTTGATGTAGATAGTAAAGATCCGACACTGGGAATGAGTTGTCCTCCCCCGGCATTTGTGGACCAGCCTTTCCTACAGAAAGTCAAAAGCATTTTGTCTTCTGAAGGTATGGGGAGCAAAAGGGTGGAGGAGGGGGCAGTGAGGGTGGGAAGGAAAAATATTACCTTCTTAATGAAAAATGCATGTACCACAAGTGCATAGTTCAATCTGTTTCCCTAAATTGAATATACTCATTTATCAGCAAACATGGAGAATTTCTGGCACCCCAGAATTCCACCTTTTTCCTCCTTTCCGATAATTTATCCTCTCAAGGATCACTGCTACCCTAGATTCTAATAGTAAGCTTAATTTTGTCCATGTTTATTCTTTATATAAATAGAATCATACAGAATATACTCCTTAGGTATCTGTTTTCATTTATTCAACATGATGTTTATGAGATTCATCCTCTGTGTTGTTCCTTTTTGTTGCTGTGTAATGTCATGTGACTTAACCAGAGTTCATTTCTCCACTGTGGTTGGCATTTGGGTTGTTTCCTGTTTGGGGCTTTTATAAATAATGCTGCCAGGAACATACTAGTAGATGTGTTTTGGTGAAAGTGTTTATAGATCTGTTGGGCCTATATGTAGGATTGTAATGCTGGATCATAGATGATCATGTTTGTTGGACTTTCATAGGTGGTGCTATGTCCATTTTATGAAGGGGATTGTAGTGATTCCCATTCACATCCACAAGGTGGCGTTAGCTGCAATGTGAATTCTTCCCACATGCTCTGGACTAGGTGGCATCTTTATCTCTCTAGCAGCCCATTTCAAGTGAGGAAACTGAGGTAAAGATACTTACCAACTTGACACAAGATAACACTGGGACTCCAGTCCAGGTCCTTGTGACTTGGAAGCTGGAGCACTTAATCCATATGTTCAGGGTCTCCTAGGTATTTTGATTTGGTGTAAGGTACTGTGGGAACAGAGCTGATTTAGTACTAATTACTTGTTACAAGTCAAGGTACCTGGGTCCCCTCACTGACTGGTAAATACATCACTGTATAAGTCAACACAGTATCCCTGTGGAGTTGTTATTTATGCATACAAGAGCTGGGGTTGGAGGCCAGAGGGGTGGGGTGGGGGGTGAGAGGATTCACCAGAGACAGAGTGGGGTGCAGAACAGGCAGACTAACTGAAATACACTGCTGAGGGGAGTAGCGGGTGAGACAGTAGAGGTCTGCAGTGTCATGTGGGTTAGCTCTCTGGTCAGGGATCAAACTTGTGCTGCAGTGGCTGCTGATAGCTTCATAGTACTGAGACTTAACCCCTTGTACCACCAGGGAGTCCCCTAGAGTTGGTAGATTCTTTTTGTGGTGGTGTTCATTTCAAAGCAATTCTTTGGGAAACTTAGGCATGGAGAAGGGTGAAATAATTTACTAGCAGCATAGAAGAGCAGGCATTAGGCTGAAGTTTCTCACAGTTTATGTATTGCCCATGCTTTTCCCTTTCTGCCTTTCTTTGTGTGCTGTGTATCTCCAGAATCTCTCCTACCTTAGGAGCATTTTTTTTTTTTTTTTTTTTTTTTTTTTTGAACTTTTAAATATATTAACTTTTATTCAAAGGTAATACAAGAAAGACATGTTTTGGTTATTTGTAAAGTGAGATTAATCAAAGATCTAAGAAAAGTTGTATCTGATTAACATAGTTGACTACTTAACAAAAAGTTCTATCTTCTGTAAATAGTAACTAAATTTATACATAAAGGAAAAAATATCTTTAAAACCATTCAAATTCAGTTGAATCCCATACATCGGTATCGTCATCAAACCTTTAGAGTGTGTCCTTAAGAAATTAAAAATACACACCAAAACATGACCAACATTGAACAAAAGAAAATATAAATAAGGATAATTTATTTTATTTTAAAAGTTTGATATCATACATATTCATTTGAACTTTAATGTCAGTGTCACCAGACTTTTCTACTTTTTTTTTTACCATTTAAGCATTTTTAATGACATTTCACAGAAACCAGAAAAATTTCTCCTTTGATGGTATACATATATAAAATTTCTGTTTGGTAAGCAGAATTACAACTGGAGGCAGAGAATTTTATTTAAGTAAGAAATTTAGCTACCACTGTACTTATGACTCAGTGGGAACCAAGGTAATAAAAAATGACCAAACATTGAAATATTATTTCAGGGTATAATGTCATAGTAATGAAAAGAATCATTGCAGATTAGTCCATACAACAAATGGAAGTAACCCACAAAATTATTGATTTAAGTAACCCCACAATTTATTTTTTTTATAATAAATTTTATTTTTATATTCCCCATATAATTGCAACCCCCCCATTCTGACCCCAATCCCTCCCCTCCCGCCCCCCAACCCCCATAGAGTGTCTCTGGTTCATAGTTTTTTGTTGATTTTGATTTTCACTTTCTTATAGTTATTCATTTTCCTGGTCCCTTATTTAAGTTTTCTAGATTCCTGCTATGAGTGAGACCATCCGGTATTTTTCTTTTTCTTTCTGGATTATTTCACTGAGCATGATCCCCTTCCAGCGCCATCCGTGTTGCTGCAAATTGCATGTGTTTATCTTTTTTGAATGCTGAGTAATATTCCATGGTGTATATGTACCACATCTTGATCCAGTCATCTATTTTTGGGCATTTGGGTTGTTTCCAAAGCTTAGCTATTATAAATAGTGCTGCTATAAACATAGGGGTGCTGGTGCTCTTTGGAATTGATGTTTCTGTGTCCTTTGGGTAAATACCTAGGAGTGGAATTGCTGGATCATATGGAAGCTCTATGTTTAGTAGGTCCAGAAATCTCCACACAGCTCTCCATAGTGGTTGGACCAGTTTGCACTCCCACCAACAGTGCAGAAGAGTTCCTTTTTCTCCACATCCTTGCCAACATTTGCTGTTGCTAGTTTTTTTAATATGTGCCATTCTCACTGGTGTAAGATGGTATCTCATGGTAGTTTTGATTTGCATTTCCCTGATTACAAGTGATGTTGAACATTTTTTCATATGCCTGTTGGCCATTTGCATTTCATCTTCAGAGAAGTTTCTTTTTAGCTCTTCTGCCCATTTTTTGACTGGATTATTTTCTTTGTTGTTGTTGAGTTTCATCAGCTCTTTGCAGATTTTTGTGATCAGTCCTTTATCATTAGTGTTGTGTGCAAAAATGTTCTCCCAGTTGGTGGGGTTTCTCTTTGTTTTTTGTTATTGTCTCTTTTGCTGTGCAGAAGCTCTTTAATTTGATGTAGTCCCAGCTGTTTATCTTTGCCTTCACTATCACTGCTTTGGGTGATGTGTCTGTAAAGATGTCTTTGATGTGAATATCATGTAGTGTTTCGCCTATATTTCCTTCTATGTTTTTTATGGTTTCAGGTCTTATGTCTAGTTCTTTAATCCATTTTGAGTTGATTTTTGTGTATGGTGTGAGGTAGTGGTCAAGCTTCATTCTTTTGCATGTAGCGACCCAGTTTTCCCAGCACCATTTATTGAACAAACTTTCTTTGAGGAGCATTTCTTGATCTAATTGCCCACCAGCCTCCCAGGGCAGGGGCTAGTATTTTCCTTAGAGCTGAACCTCGTCTCCAACATGTCCCCTGGATTCTGACTCTTTCTTTCCCATCCTCCAGGTGTCTTTATTCTCAACCTTGTGTGCCGAGACATGGGGTTGAAGGACTCGGTGCTGGCTGGGCTCAAGGCCGTGTTCCCCCTCCTGTATGTCCGGCGAATTGAGGGGGAAGTGAATGAGATCCTGTTCTGTCAGCTGCACCCTGAGCAGAAACTTGCCACACCACAGCTCCTGGAAATGGCCCAGACCTTGGAGCAGACCCTGAGGAGGCCTGGAAGGGGTTGGGATGAAACATACGTCCTTTCTGATATGCTCAAGACTGTGAAGATTGTGTGATCGCTGAGTCAGGGAGACCTCCCAGTGTCCTGCCAGACTGACCTTGGCCTCCCCCATCCCAGAGAAAAAAGAAATATAATGGACCACACTTTTTAAGCCTCCTGTTTCTCTTGGTTTCATAATTAGCTGCATGTGACTTGTAGCTTAATGAGGTTGCCTGAAGATCTGGGAAAATAAAACATTCCTTCCCATCTCATCATCTTCAGTCCACTTGGGTTGATGATCTTGGCTGTTTTGGTGTCCTTGAGGAGGCTCTATGGAGCCCCCCTGATGCCTTAACATGTCTGCACCAAGTTCCGTGGGACTGGAGATAATCAAATTGCATTGCTTTAGCCTATTATTGGTTTTATAGGAATTATCTCAGTTCTGTGTCAAAGAGCTAAACTCTTGGGATCTCCACACATCTTCATAGGTGTGTGGTTTGAGAGAGACCATCTATTCTACCTCCCTGAAGATGGACTGTCCTTGACTGGTCCCAAGTTTTAAGAATCTGCTAAACCACCCCACTATGGAACAGTTTTCCTTGACTATCTAAATCTTGTCACCTAAGCCATTTGTACGGTTCTCAATAGAGGCGAATGGATGGAACTGGCTCCAGGATGGTATAGGCCAGGAATCTAGAAACTGCAGGTTTTTATGGTTTTTACTCACATTTGCTGAGTAATAGCTGCATGTTAGTTAGACCTGGGTGGAAGTAAAGAGGTAATGGGATGGCCAGAAAGCAGGCATTAGTAATTAAAGTTAATGTGTTTCAGGAACTTTTCTAAGTGGTTGATGTACATTGTCTTATTTAATCTGAGGCAAAGGATAGTTAAACCAAAACTATATTTAGCCTCAAATCTCACTTGAGACAGAAGTGTCAATGTGATCCATATATTGAAGCTGTTGAATAGTTGTTTGAAACTGACCTGCATTTCATCTCCTGACTGCACCAAGACTTAACAGGCAGTATCATGGGAAATGGGCTTTGTCCTCTACCACCTGGCTTACTCTCCATGACCTTTAAGATGAAGTCTAACCTCTTAAGATGAAGCATATTACAAAGTTAGGATGTCATCCTTACAAAATTGTGTTAACTCATTGAGGAGAAGGGATGTGAGTGCAAAATAGTATTTTTAGGTCTTACCTATTAGAAATACCTGGTGTTCTTGAAGGGAGGGTGGCCCTCAAAGCTTGGGACTCCCTGTTTTTATCCTCCAAGCGCAGGCAGTGTTAGGGTAGTTTATGGAGTCTACGAAGACTGCTCTGTGCTCAGTTCACCCTCCAATGCTGTGCAGACATGAGTGCACAAGGGTAGCACAGCCAAGCTGGGGAACTACCAGAATGATGATGGGGTCACCGCTATAGCATAGGCTGAGTTGTCCAAGGAATTAGGTAGGTTTACTGGAGACAAATTCTTGGAGATGAGAAGAAGCACTCTGGGGCCATAATAGTTGTCTTAAACTTTTGGAAAAATAATGGATATGACAGGAATAATGTTGGTTACATGTGGCTCCTAAGGCTGAAAAAGACCATTGAGCAGAAATTACAGTTAGGCAGCTTTCAGCTACATTTCCGAAAAAGAGGTGTGTACCAGTGGAGACCAATTTGTTTAGTGGAACACATGGTGGCTGCAGGCTATTTTTCAAACCTAGTGTTACTCATCAGGTTTATGGGGAAACCTGATTTGGATTTGGGATGTGGGGAAAAGGTCTGATGTGTTCAGTTCACTGTTATTGATTTGTATTCCATCTGTCCAACTGGAAAGCTAGCCACATTTGTATTAGCAATGGGCATGGTTCTTTATGAGAAGTTTTCCTGACTTCAGACATGAGTTTTGGAGGCTTATAGACCCAAATACCTTCCAGACCAGGCAAGTAACATGAAAGTGTGAAGTGAGCCATTTGTAAAACAAAAAGGCTAAGGAGAAGCCTGCAATAAACCAGAAAATAAATGCCCTAGTGAAAAAACAGTCTTCTTCCTGCCAAGAGTTGTTCTGCAGGAGAGCTGTCCCAGCAGGACTATATTCTAAGAGAAGCCAAAAAATTCATGCTTGTGTGTGTCTGTATGTGCGTGTAAGAGAATATTAAAGTGTTGGCCAATCAGAGCATATCTTCAAGCCACATTGACCTGTGGACCAGTAATTTGCATCTTCCACAATAGGAGACAGCTTACAGATGCCCTGACAATCTGCATGCACCAAGCCTCTGTGTGACCATAAAAGAAGGAGGAAGGTGGTAGCTCCCTGTCACCGATCTAGGAAATTCCATCCTGTGTCCTATATTTTCTGTAATGGTTACTCCTGAGTGGAGATGGTCCTACCATTGTTGGGGTACTGCAACTTCCCAGGACCATCAGCGAACAGATGCCATCTGTATGAGAATCAATCATGTGACAACTTGTCTACCCCAACCCAAGTTGTGTAATAATGCAAAATTGGTGAGACAGCCCTATCCCCACCTGCCCCCAAGCAACCCAACCAAATTTTCCAAGTCTACCTCCATTCTTCCATCATGGCTCAGCTTGTTAACTGGGCTGATGCTTGAGTCCCATCTTCCCAGGGGTGGGAGCTGACTTGTTGACCATCTTCTTATGGCTGATAGTTCTCAACTGCACAGTTGGAGTCATCTTATATGGTAGGCAGAATAATGGTCCCTAAAGATGTTCACATCCTAATCCCAGCAACCTGTGAATATGTTACATAACACGGTAAAGGGGAATTAAAACAACAGATGGATTTGATGTTGCTAATTATCTGACTGCTAGATTATTAGGATGAGCCCAACATAGCCATAAGGGTCTATAAATATGGGAGAGGGGGGCAGAAAGGTCACTGTTGGAGTGATGCTTTGTGAAAGACCCATCACTGCAGGCTTTGAACATAAGAACCTCAGGTGGCCTTCAGAAGCTGTAAAGGTAAGAAAACCTATTCTCTCCTAGAACCTTTACTAAGAAACCAGCACCTTCATGTTAGCTGGTGAGACCCATCTCAGACTTCTGCACTACACACCTGAAGATAATAAGTGTATTGTTTTAAGCCATTTAGTTTTTGCTTAATGGTTACAGCGGCAATAGGAGACTATGTGCAAGTGGGCAACTTGTAAAAATACTATTTATAGGCCTGGGCCCTCCCCACGGAAATGTTGATTTTGTCAGTCTGGGATGCAACCTGTGTATCCAAAGTTTAAAAACCTTTCCAGGTGATGCTGTTGTGTATCTGAAGTTGAGGGCCACTGAGGTAAAGGTTCTGAGAGTGATGATCATTAGATAAGAAGAGGGAGCCACTACTCCTATCTGCGATGCAAGCTACAGTCAATTGATGATTGGAATATGCCCCCCTCTCATCTTGTCTACGAAAAACACAAGAAATCTCCAATTCCCTACCATCAACTAGGTACCTTACAGCTGAAATCTGATGCTATCTATCTGGGGTTAAATGTTAAATAAAGGCTCAGCCCGACAAAACTACCCCTGGCCCTTCACAAAACTGCAAGTATAGGCTGTTACCCGTGTTTCTGACCAACTGACTATACATCAGTTTCCCAGGGCCTCCTCCTCAGGTTGGCAAGTTGGGAGAGCAGCTCATAGAAGTCAGGGAAACAGTTTTCTTTGATTACTGGTATTTTATAAAAGGATACACCTCAACTATGGAAAGCTGTGTGGAGGTTCCTTGGAACACTGAAAATGGACCTACCATATGATCCAGCAATTCCACTCCTAGCAATCTACCCAAAGAACACAAAAACACTCATTTGAAAGGAAATCTTCACTCCCGTATGTATTGCAGCACTATTTACAATAGCCAAAATATGGAAACAAACTAAAATGTCCCCAAACAGACGAATGGATCAAAAAGTTGTGATATATTTATACAATGGAATATTACTCCATGATCAAAAAAAGACAAACCTTATGCCATTTGTGGCAACATGGATGGAGCTGGAAGGGATTATGCTAGTTGAAATAAATCAGAAGGAAAAAGATAAATAGCGATGGCCTCACTTATATGTGGACTATAGAGAAACCAAACAAAAGCACAAGAAAAAGTCAAAACTAGCAAGTTAACCATAGAACTGAGACATACAGCAAAGGAAGGGAGGGAGGGCCAAGGGGGGGGGAAGAACACAAGGGAATATGGTGATGGTTCATGGGTGATACGGTGGCAGGAAAACTGTGGGGGTTACAATGGTATAAAAATATTTTTAATTAATTAAAAAAATCTATAAATAGTAGCAAAAAAAAAAAAAAGATACAACTCAGCAATAGCCAGATGGGAGATGCACAGGACAAGGTGTGTGGGAAGGGGTGCAAGCTTCCTCTCCCTCTCTGTACCTCCACATGCTCACCAACCTGGAAGCTGTCAGATCCCTGCACCTTTGGGACTGTTATGACAGCTTCATTTGGGCACAATCAATGATTAACTCAATTTTCAGCTCTTCTCCCTTCCCCAGAGAATGGGGGATGGGGCTGAAAATTCCAAGACAATCATGGCCTAGATTTTCTGGTGGCTGGTTCCTCTTCTGGAGCCTAAAGAGAGTCACCTATTAGAACAAAAGATGTTCCTATGCCCCAGGAATTTACCCCAATTACTTCAGCTCTATGTCAGGAATTGGGGTCAGAGGCCAATGTATATTTTCTATTATCTCACCCACCTTTAATATTGCCCTCCAGCCCTCCCTGCCACCACCAGCCCCACCGCTGTTTGCTCTTTAAGGGGATGACAGTTGTGGGAGGAGGTTGATTTTTCTCAGAGGTGCTGGAGTCCACTTCTCGCTGTAACTGGGCCCTGACGACATCCCAAGGACTGCTGAATAAAGCCCAAAGACCACAGAAGAACAAACCATGTCCTGTTACCCTCTTACCAGCGGGTTTCTATGAATTGGCAATCGGTAGTGGTCGATAAGAACTAGAATTGTTAAGGGGCTCCCTGGTGGCACAAGGGGTTAAGCACTGCACTATGAAGCAATCCACAGCCTCTGCAGCACGAATTCGATCCCCAGCTTGGCCAGTGAGCAACCCACATGGTGCAGCAGACCTCTCCTCTCTCGCCCACTGCTCCCCTCAGCAGTGTACTTCAGTCAGTCTGCCTGTTCTGTTCCCCACTCTGTCTCTAGTGAGTCCTCTCACCCCCTGCACTTCTGGCTTGTACCCCAGCTCTTGTGCATAAATAAAATAATTTTTTTTTTAAAAAAGAACTAGAATTGTTAAGTTG